CCCCCAGCCTGTATTGATACCAAGGGTTGCACCCAACCCATGTGCAGGACCTTGTGCTTGGCCTTGTTGGACTTCATGAGGTTCACACAGGGCCACTTCCAAAGCTTGTCCAGGTGCCTCTGGACGGCCTCCCGTCCCTCAGGCACATCAGCTGCACCACACAGCTTGGTGTCATCGGCAAACTTTGCTGAAAGTTCTCACTCTTGTCCAAGAAGAGGAGAAATCAGGCAGGTCAGATAAAGAGAGCAGCCTTCAAGCAGAATCCCCCATCAGAGACGATGCCGGGCTGAGGCTGGGACATGTCGTACTGGCGCCGTGGTACGTGAGCGGTACGCATCTACGGTGGTAGGCGTGCGCTTGTGCTTGAAGCAAACCCAACGTTGCCTGCAGGTTTATCTGCACAGCCCTGATATCGCCTCCATAAAGACTAACAGTAATTCATGTGTGTGTCTGTGTGTTCAGTGTGTTCGTGTATGACTGTGCATATGTGTATGTATGTGTATAGATACACATAAATATGTAAAAGTGTATTAATAGTTGTAAGTACAATGCTTTGACCTCGGTCTGGTTTTGCTGATGCACAGCCCCTAATGTGATTAAGAGGGAGGGGAAAAAAATGCCAGTGAAAGATCTGATCAGTTAATTAGGATATACTGTTAGGGAATACTGTATCATTAAACCGTGACACACCGAGCCAGCATCAAATCTCAAAGCTCAAAGTGGGGTACATGTGTGTGGTCTATTTTCCAAAGGCTCCCTTTGTCATGTTACAAAGGAGTAACAGCGATACAGGTTGGTGGTTGCTCTCAGGAGGGTAAGGCCACCCTCCAAGACGTGGCATGAAGACTCAGTGGTGCTGCTGTTGGTAGAGCAGCCCTTGCAGAAACTGTGAAGAACAGATCTTTCCAGCGGTATTCTGAAAAACATGATGCCTGTCTGTAGTGACCTTTTGGCGTCAGTAAGTGGGGGTAGATAGCTTTTGAGGGATAAGATTTGAAAACAATATTGCAAGGTGAAAAAGTCAGGAGAACAATTGAAAATGATGTTTTTACTGTCAGCTCCAAGAGCGACGAGTTTGAGCAGTGGTGAACCCAGGGAAGGAACAGGGTGCGTCTTGCAGAGGTGGCTGCCAGAGCGATGGGGGCTTTTACCAGCAAACGTCATTGACAATAAGCTTTAAGTCTGCTCTTGCTTGGGTGTGACCAAGCTTAGAATTCAGCTGCCCCTTATACTTTTGACTGGGTGCAGGTGGGGCAGCTCAGCTACTCCCAAGGACCCCAGTCTGTGCTTTTCAATCCGCCTTTCAGCTCACCTCCCTGTGCGCTGCAGAGATCAATAATGTCAATTCCAGGGTGTCCCCTGAGCGTGCACCGCAGCTAAATGGCGTGCTGTTTTCTGCAGCACTCAGGTTTTCAGTTCATGCCTACTGAATCCGATACAGTCGTACTGTAAAGAAGCAGTGAGCGGATTTAGCAGGTTAGACACGATAGACTGTTGAGAGAATGAAAATGAGTACTTCTTTAATTAAAATAATTATTTTTTAAATATAACCTACCATTATTCCACAGCTGTTAGTTGTGACTCTTCTTTGCAATGGAACTGGCTTCTTCAAAAAGATTTTTCCACGGAGTATATGTTACCCCATGCCCACGCCAGTGATTTTCCCAGCGATGTTACAGAAAGCAGCTCTGGGTCTTCGGAGACTATTGTCAGCAATATCATTTACTTCAGTGGGCGCGAGGCCAGTGACTGTGGGTCCAAAAACTACATTGGCAAACGTCATTCTGTGTCTAATAAGGGCTCTCCGCATTGCTAACCACAATTCAGTGGTGACCATGTTTTTTTTAAAAGATACCCTAACCCAGCCAAAACTACTAAGCATGTCCCTAGAAAAGACATTCTTTTTTTTTTTTTTCCCCGTGGTACAAATAACTACTGTAAAAAATGCTTCCTGTTTTGCATCTTTTGCAGTCATGTTGAACAGTGGTAGCTACAGCCAGCCATCTCTCTCAGATTATAGTAAATATAAGAAAGATCTAAACAAAAACGCCGTTCAAATTAGATATGCAGATTGTTTCTGAGACAGATTTCCATACATATGGCATCAGACAAGTGCAACACGAAAAGATTATAAAACTTGTAGTAGTACTGACAGCTTCTAGGTTTCCCTGGAAAGCCGCTTTATATGGCACTTGCAACAGCAAGGAAAAAAAAATAATGAAGAAAGCGTATTAATTTTCTGTGCAGCAAAAATGTGAGCCAGCAATTGTTCTGGTCCTGCCCTTTGTGACACAAGCTCAGATATTTTTATTTCACATTTTCATTCCCTTTAATTTCTGCCTCTCCTCTATCCAAGTAGCTCTGATTTAACTTCTCTGGAGATTCAAAACAAAGCTCTGATTCATCTTACAAAGGCGCTTCAAGTTACATCCAAAAGTATGCTGTGATAGCAACCCAGAAGGAGCTTCCCCTGAGTCAGATAGGATGCACGGAACCAGTGATGCTGACACCAGCCGATCGTTCCCATAACTACTGCCTTCTGTGTGGTCCTAGGGGAGCCCTTCCCTGCGTCTGTTGATTTTCTGTTGTTCAAAAACTCACCAGGCTCTGACGAGCTCTGTTGTTCAAAACTTCTCCCAAACAAAAACATACCTTTGGGTTGCAAAAACACAGCGTTGGTTTGGGAGGGACAGATTTTCCTGACGCTTTCCAAGTGGCACAGCTGCCAGCTGATTGTTTTGTTTCTCTTCTCACCCGGACAGGAGCCTGAAGGGCAGATCTTGGGGAAACTGCCGGAGGTGGTGAGAGCGGCCCGGAAGGTGGGCCAGCTGCGAGACAATGCTGAAATCCTTTGTTGCTTTGGTCCCACAGAACGTGCAGCTGGAGTGTATCACAGAGAGTCACGCTCTGGGAAGTACCGGCTCACCTACGCAGAAGCAAAAGCTGTCTGTGAATACGAGGGAGGACATCTAGCCACGTATCAGCAGCTGGAGGCGGCAAGAAAAATAGGTTCGGAAAAAATCATGTCTGTCTGCTCATTCATAATGTTGCCAGTCTTGTATTTTCATGAGTGTTATGAACTCTGGGACTGAGAGACTTGTAAACTCCCTGGATTTTTGCCCAAGTTGCATGCAATTTCCCCCCTCAGTAACGGAGCATGACTGCGCTACCTACAGAGCTGTCAGGGATGACATCTGCACAGAGGGCTACGCGTCCCCCCGAGCTCTGGGTGCAGCGCAGGCCTGAAACCAGCAACACCCTGAGGAGAACGATCTGGCTGAGCTGGGAAGCAATGCGACCTCCCCAGCTACAGCACCTGGGGGCTGCAGAGGAAGGCATTTATCCCAGGGAGCTTCTACAGTAAAAGTGCATTGCTATTTTTCATATCATCATCAAGATGTTTTCATAAAGTTTATTCCAGCCTTATTTGCTCTGGTGAGAGAAAGTGAGTGGTGTGCTTGGAATGGAAAGTGGAGCTGAGTGAGGGCTCTACTGTATTTCTATCTGATTCCTAATGAGTAATTCATTCAGAGCATTGGGAAAACAATGGAAAATATCCTCCACTCTAGAAATTTGCAGGCTACGCCGTTGAGTCAGAAGCTGGCTCTCAGCACCAGCACACATGTAAAAAAAGGGTACTTTTGTCTTTTCTGAGTAGCTCATAGTCCTAGGACGCCACAAATATGTTCCAGTTCGTCTCGGTGAAAACATTGAATTGGTCCGTACCAGACAGTGAATAACATTGCATTCTTTGGCTATTGTTTTTAAGTTCTCAGCCACAAAATGCATTAACAGGATTTTTTTGTTTAGCAAGAAATACTTGAGGCATTTCAGGTATTTAAATTTAAACTGAAAGTATTTTAAGTAAATACTTTGTTTTCTTAGCTCTCTTTTGTATGTAGTATTTTATTCACTCTCAGAACTTAATGCTGCAGACCCTTGAGATATGATTGAGTAAATTTGTATGACTTCAAAAGGGAAACAAAGAACACACTTACATAACTCATCCAGTATATAATTGGGTTACAAATGCTGGTACAGCACTTAAAACTCAGTACCCAGGAAACTATATAGTCCATCTGCATTTGATTTTTGTTTTCAAATGAAGACCCAATAACCACATTGTGGAGAACACAGCGCAATTTTATACCCTGCATTTAAAATTATCCTCTCAAAGTGCTTTTCTTTGCTGTGGTTCAATTTCTATTAGGCCAATTACACCCAAATCACTGATCAGCTTGAGTAAGACTGGACCAAGTTGAATAAAAAGCAGTGTTTCTTGCCTAGGGTTGATTGATTACACCCATGTCTCATTTTCTCCCTGTCGCAGGTTTCCATGTGTGTGCTGCTGGCTGGATGGCAAAGGGCAGAGTTGGTTATCCCATCGTCAAAGCTGGAGCCAACTGTGGCTTTGGCAAAACCGGTATTGTTGATTACGGGATTCGCCTCAACAGGAGCGAGAGATGGGATGCCTACTGCTACAACCCTAACGGTGCGTTTGAAAACAACCCATTGCTCTTCGCGTCTCAGATGGTGACTGCACGCCATGCCACCTGGCTGCACAAAGGCACCCGGGCTCTGAATGAGTTCGCTCGCTCCTGTGCCGTAAATGTGCTGCCTGAGAAGGGGGGCGCATTGATTCAAATGTATTTAGAGCCTTGCACCAAGCCCCCTCTGCTGTTAGCGACAGCTGATCTGGCTTGCTCAGAGCTCAGCGTCTCTGCGCTGCATTGCTCTGTAGATAACCGAGCCCTAAGCAAAGTCCTCTCAGAAACTAAAAATGTAATGATGTGCTGTTGGTGATTAAAAAGGTAAGTAATATTTCCAACGTGACGTGCAAATATTGTTTTGTATAAGAGTGTTGACATTTAGCCTACAATTTCATTTAAATAACTAACCCCGAGGTGCTTAACATGGGAACCAATTTCTAGATATTTTGCCTGTGAACAGGCTAGATTTAGTGTTAACCCTTATTCCTTCTTTCTTGTGCCTGAGGTGGTAGAACAACTTTTGCATATGAATGCCATGCTTGGGACTGAAAGACCCGACAGATCCAGCTCCCAGCAGTGTGTGTGTGTGTGTGTGCGCGCATATGCGCACGCATGTGTAACTAGATGGAGAAAAGTGGATCCAAAGCAGACCTGGAGACAGGGTTCAAACACAACATGACCACGTACGGGACATCTCTCTGTCCCCCTCCATTCGCTGCATTGCAGATGACCAAAATGCCGACATGGCTGCTGTTCCCGTTTAGCTTGATATCACTTCATATAGCAGGGAAGACAGAAAAAGTAGACACCAACAAGGAAAGCTAAGCTTAACTTTGTGTGCTGCTTGGCTCTCCCACTACTCCAAGTGCACTACCCTGCCTGGTAGAGCCAAAAATTGGAGTTGTCCGTGACGTCTGTACAGCTGTGAGCATTTTGTTTGTCCTCCCAGGGCTTGAGCTTGTTTGTGTTAGCTGGGCAGTTGTTAATCAAATAGCTCTGTGGGGTGGGGGACGTTCACAGATGTTCAGCACACAAAGAGAACTGCAAGAGACACTACTGCCTTCGTCATGACTCCGTGTAAACTGGCAGCCCGACTTTCTCCTTTGTCAGCCTTCTCCTCTGGGCTGGGAGGCAGTTACTTTCCAAATGCACTGTTTGGTTGAAGGACCAAAGGAAAATGGAACTGCTAACACTCAGCAGATGCTTGAGTCTCTCCCAAGGACAAGGACACATATTCACACATAGTCATGCTTGACTTGACGGACAGCCTGCTACAAAGCCTGGCAGGGTTGTCCGCTGGCAGGTGGGAGACAAGTAGCCTGGGGGAACGAAGACAAATCTCTGAGCCTTTGTTCTTCTCTAGGGTGCTAAAGACGTCAAGAGGAACTTGTGAAACTCTTTGCATCTTTGAAAGGCACATCCAACCTAGCAATGACCTGGAGCAGAAAAGCACAGGACTAAGAGGTTAATCACACTGTCCGGCTCAAGGCTCCTAAGTCACGTGCCCCGAATCACCCTTAGCAAGGATTTCCCTCTCCCCAGGTCTGAACTTAGGGAACGAGGACAAATCCTAAAGTCAGGCAGTGTGAGGTCCCCACATTGGCTGTTCTCGCAGTCAAGGAGCTGATAAAGTTCAAATGGCCACTGAATCAAACGGGAATGAGTGTTTTTTGGCCCAAAGGAGCCATTCCAAAGGGAGTGAAGAGCTGCAGCAATAACAGGAGTACAGCGCAGTGTATGAGATCATTAACCTTTATAAGTTTTCTTGTAGAAGACACACTTTCAGGAGGTTTTTGAAGAAGAGAGGATGAAACTGAATGCTAGAGTGACTTGCAAGTGCAGCTGTAAAGCTTACAGTTTGACACTGCGAGAAACCCCGAATGCCTTTTACATAAAACACTTCGCTCTGGCCCAAAGTCTGCTGAAGTCAATGAAAGCTTTCCCATGAATTCAGTGCATTTTGTTTCCAAAATATCTACTCCCAAAAGCCAGGAATGACTGACGTTTCTTGTAAACACGGAGTGCTTAAATACATGGAAAGTGCCATCACGCTGGGTGTGCTGATGTGAGTTTCTGTGTATCTGCTGGGTCAAAGTGCACCAAGATTTAAACCATGGCCATGTCCAGAATGAAGACTTAAACTCTGATGTTTTTATTGTTCTTGTAGGGAAAGAATGTGGTGGAGTCTTCACAGATTCAAAACATGTTTTTAAGTCACCAGGCTACCCAAATGAGTATGAAAATGATCAAATTTGCTACTGGCATATTAGAGTAAAGTATGGACAACGTATTCATCTACAGTTCCTGGAGTTTGATGTTGAAGAAGATGTTGCTTGTATGGCTGATTTCTTAGAAATCTATGATAGCTATGACGATATCAATGGCTTTGTGGGCAGGTAAAGCAATTCCAGCTTTAATACGCAAATAATCAAATGATTTAATTTTTCCCCCAGAACATTGTCTCAGAAGAGCACTGCATTACCGTATCCAGTTAGCACCCCTGATAAGCCCATCATACTCGTAGCAGCAGTACCTGACGTAGCTTTCCTGGCAAGTTACTTTTCTGTCATTGACACAGGCCTGTAAAGAGTTTCAGAGAATTGCGCTTTGCCCTTTTCCGCTTTGCTAAATCACATGGAAGCAAGCTGAGAGGCATTTCAGTTAGCTGCTTAATTCTCTATCAGCAGCCTCAGACAGTATCTTCTATTTGCTTTAATTGAAAGGAGGGAGGTGGGGTGTTAAATTGTTTGCAAAAATGTATTTAATTTACCATTCGCTGCAGAAGTAAAATATTTTCTAACAATGTCAGAACAGAACAAGTGTTACATGTCATCTCTCTTACTAGCTTTAGCTTCCCTCTTTGCTTAATTCTCACTTTCTTTTCTTCAGTGTCATATTTTTGCTTCTCCTTTAGCAGTCATACTTTGGTATGACGTACCTCAATTTTCCAGAGCAAAAAATAAACCAGAAAAAGTGATAAAAGCCACTTCCCAATTCCTGCCGCTTTTCACATCCTCTCTACAAACCATGTGTACCAAAGCAAGGATATAGTCCGTTTGTTTTGCTGTTACAGATAATTTTAAACATTTTTCTTGACAATGTTCTTCCTTTCTTAACCTTGGACCGTTGTTCTTTTTCTTAACGCCTTGGTAAGTTGCTCTTTTCCTTGTTTTGCATCATTTACTTCCTGCCTACATTGAAAAATGTTTCCTGCATTTCCCCCTCCCATAAACCTTACTATCATGACAAAAATTCTAAAGCAATTGCTTTAATGTATAGTGGAGGATTACGCACCCTCAATTATAACTGCTTTAGCCCCACGAGCCACAGATCCGAAGGAGAGTGCGGCCGGAGAGCCACCGTTCAGTGTAGGGAGTGTGGCACATGCGCTGTGTCGTTTAGTCATCGCTGTTTTGTTTTTTTTCTAGGTTTTGTGGAGATGAGTTGCCAGATGATATCATTAGCACAGGTAATATATTTGCACTCCTTATGTTAAAAAAAACAACCCAGCCCCGATCACCTTTTGTCCCTGCTGCCTAATAACATATGGTTAAGATGCCCAGAGACACAATCCCTGCCTGCTCCGTGGCTGACGCGTCATAAATTGCTATTCAAAACTGTCATCAACGCAATGACTTCTAAATCAGTGTAAAAGAAAAAACAGCCTAGGGAGAAGATAAGCAGGGTGCACCCTGCTGCCCGCACAGCCATAGGACACCTCCGCAGCTTCGGCGGTTTCACAGAGGTGTCTTTCCACAGCAGTCGGTAACTGAGCCTGACCTGTGCGCACAAGCTCCAGGCACCGGTTTGTCCCGTTTCAAGCGCGAGGATTGCACCAACACTCCCAAAGCCGGTGGCAGACGTGACGCTGCGCGTCAATCCTGTTTAAACGGCAGGGCAAGGCCTGCTGTCACGCGTGAAGTGAAGTGGGGCATTTCACAGGCAGAGCGAGGCACAGCGGCATTTTCAAGAACGGGAAATGCTTTGCAGATAGCGAAAGGTTATCAGCCTCCGGGCTCTGCGAACATGAAACTCTGCCTGGTTTTCCATGTGGCCAATAGTCCTCCCAGGCCACAGGTCAGAAGCAGACGGACCAGGTGGATTGCTCTACAGATCCCCGAAGCGAGAAAGAGCACTTTAAAAATAACCCTGAAATACCACATTTTTATGCAACCAGAAAACATAACCTTCGTTTTCCTTTTTCTTGTCCCAGGCAATGTTATGACCTTGAAGTTTTTGACAGATGCCTCAGTGACTGCTGGTGGTTTTCAGATTAGATATATTACTGTGGACATGCCTTCAAAGTCAAGTGATGGAAAGAATACAACGTCCCAAGGAAAAACAAACTTCCTCTCTGGGAAATTTGGTATTATGTGAGCACAGTAACGAGATACGTTCATTAAAAAACACGTTTTAGAACCCGATTCAGATATCTGTTTCTTCAGATAAGACAATTTCTTCATATCTTTCTGACTTTTTATTTTCTGCTTTTATATAAGTTTTGTTCATAAAGTATACTAGGAAATAAATTATAAAATATACTTACATGAATAATAGAAGAGTATTTTTAGATTACAAGTACTGTAAAAATCTGAAGAATGCATTGTTACCAAAGATTTAAAAATTATTTTTCTATATAAACTCTTCCTTCTCCTAATTTCTTGCACCATTTGAACAAACCTTTTGTGTGACTGTTTCAATTGTTTTTAAATTTAACACGCTGTTCTCTCCTTACGCTCCTTGATTTCCACATATTTATTTGTTAGATTGTTGCTATGTTTCTTCCTGTTCTCTACACATAATTATTTTTTTAATTAACTCATTTCCCTGAACTCAAAAGGCTGTTAGAGTAAGCTTATTTTTGAGATACATAAATTCATCTTGTGGATGCCCAGCAGCCACTCATGTCATTGTCTGAAGTCAGAAGACTGAGAAGCAGCGTGAATAGCACAGAATCAATTATATTATCATCATAATTCGGTTGTGAGATGAACCAGAAACAACTCGATGAATTTTGCCAGGGTTTCCTCACCCAGAGAAGAGTTGTTCCTTTCACTTTTCTGATTTCACTTGGTGAAGAAGCAAAGGAAAGTCTTGGTAATGATGATAAAACTGGTGAGATGAAGCATCAGGAGAAACTGCTAAGCAGCAAATCCGTTCAGAAGATACTGTCGCGATGCTGTATGTTGTTTACACGGGTTTTAAGACGACTGTAATTGATGAACAAAAGTAATTCTCAGTATGTTTTTAACTTCAGTTTAAATTCCTCAGTCTGAAGCGGCATTAAAGCTACCTCTGTTTTAATCATGTCCTGTATTTCCAACGAATTGTTTTTATTTCTTGAGAACTTTTCAGACTTTGAAACATTTTTCTTGATTGAAAGCAATAAATGAGTTTTTTAAGAGTTTCTTTCTTTCACTCTGAACGTTTTCTTGACCCCAGATCCGCTGAAGTCTAGTGCCCACTAAGAATCTTTCTGTGAATTATTTCATTGTTCAGAGCATTGTGAATTCCTCAGAAAGGGTTTTGCACAGGAGGAGGGTGATCTTAAGCTAATCAGACCCATCTTTGCTTTATTTATTCCAATTCTTGATTCTTCAAATTCATTTATCTTAGAGCTTTTATTGTTGTAATTTCACTGGGAATATAATCCTGCTTCCTGGCGGTACTGGAGAACAATGCCTCTCTGTCATTTTCAGCACTTTATTCACGCTTCATGGGAGCCAGGAAACAAAGTTCGTGTCACTACATTTGATGGGATCAAGCTGCACCTAAAATCTGTTTTTTAATCCTGCCACCTCGTGGACTGAATAAACCTGTTCACCTCCTCCTGCTGTAAAATGTCATTCCACTTCTCCAAGGTCAGCAAAAGTGTTTGTTAATAAGGAAAACACATGGAAAGAACTGTTAACATTTTGTTTATGACCTAAGGCGGGTTTTTGTTGGTTTTGAGGGTGGGTTTTTTTGGTTGTTGGTTCCTTAATTGAGAAGCAACCAGTCTTGAACTGATACGGATCAGAACCAAGAGATGTACAGGAAATATCTGCTTGTCTGGAAACCCCATGGTGCCAGAGGGGTGACGCTACTTGGGGATGTTTCTTTCCAGAACAGACACTCCCGTTAAGCATCTCCAACACCACTATGGAGCCCTGTAGGTGACCAAGACAGACAGACTCAGCCGTTAACGTCGCTGCTCAGGCCTATGTCTATCCCTGACAAACAGGGTTTCTCCACACTTCAGGTTTGCTGCCACTGCCGTTATTTCATGTCACACCCACGGACGCCCTGATGTCATTCATGCTTGTCCCCTCTCGGTGGCATTACCTCAAGGTGGGACATCCATGCACAGCCAAGTGCTAATGTCTCCCACCCAGAGATGACGGTGGTGGGTGTTGGGCAGCGCGTGGTGCCGCAGCCATGGCGGGGAGCGAAGACCCCAGGCACTTTCATAGAATCATAAGGTTAGAAAAGACCTCTAAGATCGTCAAGTCCAACCATCAATCCAACACCACTGTTGCAGATCTGCAGTGGTAAGAAAAACTTATCCACACACAGTGAGATAAGTAGAGA